ATTATTGTAATGTTTGTTATGTTTAAGTTGTTATGAAAACAAACTACAAGTCTATTAAATGGTTCTCTAACAGTTCTTACTTTTCTTTTATCCCACTAGAAAAATCAGTTTATTACAACAATATTAAACCACCTAAATAAATCTACTAAAACCCCCATAAACCCTCACTACCGTCAAACCCCTCAACCTCCTTAAACCCCTCTTAAACTTCCCTAACTCCCTCGCCTTCCCTCTAACCACCAAACCCCATCCCATCAAACCACTTACGCCCTCTTTACCTAAATAATCAACACAAACCCCCAAACCTCCTTGAGCCCCTCTTAAACCCCCTAACTCCCTCACCTTCCCTCAAACCGCCAAACCCCACCCCTGAAACCCTACTCTCTCAAACCTTACCCCTTCAAAATGTACCACTTAAACCCTCACTCCCCTCAAACCACTTAAGTCCTATTTACATAAAAAAAGCGACACAAACCCCCAAATCTCCATAACAACCCTGACACCCTTCAAACCTTACCCACTCAAACTCTCACTTCCTCAAATACCTCAAAGCACTCAGCAAGCTCCGTCACACTATCTTGCTACACGTAGTGCCTGGGATGTACCTGGAGGTTTATTACTCGATATCTGCATGCGTTCACCATAGCATCGCCGTACGTTTCACAACAATGCATCCATTTCACCATTATCGCCGCATCGTCGTCACGCCCATTACGTCATCGTGAGCCGCGATTCACGCGTTGAACCATCCATCAGCTGACACCAGGCTGCATTTCCTACACAGATGATCGGTGTCGAAAATCTTTGCGATTTCAATAGTCACACAATTAATTGTGGTTTTCATTTGGGTATTTCACAGTCCATTTGTGTTTCATTTGTATGCAGAATAGATCCCATTCGTTTTATGGGCTGTATCGAACACCTTTTTCGAGGACAAGCATGTATCAAGACAAAGCAACACTAAATAAACAGACCTAAATGCTCCCCTAGCATGACGTCATTATAGGGAGTGTTGCCTTGATCAAGACGATGTTGTTTTTATACTGGGAAAATTCAGACCGCCGGTGAGCTTCTTTTGTCTACAATGACTATCTGTACTTTAAAATTGGGTTGTGTTTAAAACAAACACCTTGTATTTACCGTAGGAATACATTGTTTTCAATTTCTTCTTCGGGCTGCAAGACACACTTTTACGTCAATGTGGAATTTGAGGTCTCTTTGACAACGCTTTAAATGTCGCTTATGTTGACAAATGTCTTTATACCCTTCTGTGTCATTCAAAAAGAACACAACTTATATTAATTCGAAAGCATTTGCATGCTATGAAAAACGACTTATAACCTATAATAAAGAACGGTGTCGGTAGGTTTGTGAGACAAGTTGGCTTGGACCTCCAGCTTCGCGTCAACACGACTGGCGTAGCTTGATCCCGAACCTTTGCAGAAGATTCGCCCGTTTCAAGCCCGGCGCGTGTGTAAGTAATTTAATAGCGTAATCATCGTCGGCGACATGTAATCGACGTCAAACCAGCTACCGGGTACCGTCAGTGGGCCTGGATAATTTGTTGCCAACGGACATAATCTGACGTGTAATTGAGCCCACGGGTCAACGCAGAGACTCGGTGGTCCTGGCCTATCAGTCGTGGGTGACATCCACCATCACGCCACTCATCCCCATTCATATTTGGTTTAAAATACCTACTTTGTATGGTCGCCATTTCAATTAAAAGTATTAAAGTATTCTTCTACACATCACGATAACTTACTACTCCTCCACGATACCACACAACGTTACAAATCACCACAGATTCACCTTTTTGTTGTACAGTACTTATATAACTTATATACCATATGTATTTCGCTGAGGCTTACAAATAAGATAAATAACTAGTATCACCACACCAATCTTTACAAAATGCAATTTTTTGGCGGGTTTTACTAGCTGAAAAATCCTGTTGTGTTTTAGCACCAACTCTTTACACATGTGTCAGCTGATACAGCTGATATCCTAGTCACCGAATTTGGCAGGGGTAGAAGAAAGAAAGGTACGAAATTTACAATCCTTCAGTCGTATTCAGCAGCCGAATTCGGAATTTGGCAACTAGAAAACCCGCCATTGGGCATTCTACAGATTCTGTCAAAAATACCACCCGTATTTGGAGTGTGTGTGATGCATATGTCAAGAACCTATTGACAGGTGTATACGTTCCATTTTAATTGGAATCAAATATATCTTTAAAAGCATCCATAGAAGTTAGGTTATCTTAAAATCTGCAGAATTGCGTGTGAGAAAATTAATCAAATTATACCCCATGGTGCTGTTTTGTTTTATTTTGTCTGATTAGGTCCACTGCAACTTGCTAGGTAAATAAATAATATTTCTTGTACTGTGCTGCATAAAACCCATAAAAACCTCACCAAAACAAGCAGTTCACACTCTCAGTGTGAGTCTTGTGTACCACTTCTGGACTTGAAGATTTCTATGTGTCAACCGTGGAGGACGTCATCTATCCAAAAATAATGTTCAACCCCAAACCTTTTTGTAAACAAAGGCATTCATTCTCCATCTGCCTTTGTTGGTTTTTAAATGCCTCTAGAAATACGAGAGGATTTTTTCGTTTTCCAACTTTGTAAAAGCCTTTTAGTTTGTCAAGACTGTAACAGCACACCAACCCAATCGTCAAGGGTTTCTATAGCAACGGTGATGGAAGCCTAGATCCACGGTATGACTTGTGACACATCACAGATGGCTCACATTAGAACGCAATAAAGGTTAATCGCCGTATAACCAGGAAGTGCAGTTTTTGTCGCCGATCATCACATTCTCGTTCGCGTTGGTATTTGCCGGTTGCGGTTGTAGGTTATCCACGTATCGTTGCACAACCTTGGTTGCTGGTTGCTCCACGCCCACGCACGTTGACGCTGACGACCAGTTGATACAGTGATGTCATAGTTAGACCATCACTGACACGCTTGCATCACTCGCACGCGCGCGTACAGCAGATCGCGAGGTTAACGATTGAAACGGTCGTTAAGGCGGTCATTTCAATTACGACTGGAAATGTCCCATTCTTAATTAAACCGGTCATTTGAAGATTCGTTATTAAACCGCGATCAACTTCTTCCGACGTGCACGGAGAGGTTAGCCCGGTTAATTGGAATTATGATTTTGTGTAGATGTTTTACCGCTACACGCGTAATGGATTGGTTTATGGTTCTTGCCACACGGGAGGTGTTATACTCGTGCCGTTATGTTTAACTGTTATTTTGTTAAGAGTTACACGCCTCAGTGTCTTAACTGCTTGTGTTGATGGCTGATGTAAAGTAACCTTATTTTAAAGTCTAGGTAATAACTGTAATGATGTTTACGTTGTGAATATAGACGTGGATATTTTACTAACGGGGTTTTTATAACGTCTTAAACGTCTTTGTGTTTATCAAATAAAAATAGACTAATTCAAAGTATATACAAATAATACAAAGTATTTTATTTATGAGCGTCCCTCAGTACAAAATCTTCGACAAGATAACTCTGTTTAGTGTTTATTAAAACTAATTACAGTTTTAATATTATTGTATCCATTTACTATGAGGTAAAGTATGTAAAGGTATTTCTAATGCAATACTTGTTTTGGCATTTCACATATTCAATGCTGAACCTCAGACATAGAATGATGAATTTCTGTTAGGTATAAATAAATTAAGTATTGAAGAATTGAATTGGTATTTTGTGGTTATCAGTAAAAAAAAGTAGGAGCAATCGTGCATGAAGGATAGCTGCGGTGCAGTCATGATTGAGACGTCTTTTGTGCAAGTGCAACGTCTGACACAAACAATATCTCATACAACAAGACGTCGTCCCTGACAGCAAACAATATCTCATACAACAAGACGTCGTCCCTGACAGCAAACAATATCTCATACAAGACGTCGTCCCTGACAGCAAACAATATCTCATACAACAAGACGTCGCCCCTGACAGCAAACAATATCTCATACAACAAGACGTCGTCCCTGACAGCAAACAATATCTCATACAACAAGACGTCGCCCCTGATAGCAAACAACATCTTCTTAAGCTATACGTCACCCCTGACAGCAAACATTATTATAATCTTAAACTATAAGCAGCACCTGACATTATTAAACATTGTACAATACTTAAATTTAGGCTTATGTTGTAAAACCAAAATGTTTGCAATATTTTTTTAATGCTGACAAGCAAAAAAACTCCATATCTCGAAAAATGAAATACGCTACCTTCTTAAAAGTCAACACCTTGTCTACGTTAATTTGTACTTTTTAAGCTTCATCACATTTTACGATAAATCATGCTGATTTTCTAGGACGGGAAAGCATTACGATAATCGTTTGAATTGATTTTAATTGCTTATTGTGGTGTGTGATCTTGTATACAATGCAACTAAGTTTACGGATACTTGTTGCCTCATTGGTGAAAATCAAACTTGTACATAATGTTTATCACAGATTAACAACCATGTGATATTCACATCATAACACACAAACAAAAACAAAAACAAATAACCCAACTTTTTGTTACAAAACATGCAACACTCTGCGCGTATTATTAGTTGCTATAGTCATTATGAAAATTTGGACGCAGAACACACATAAACCTCGCCTTATTCTATTTTGATACAAAGAAACAAAGTTCTAAAAAAATACGTTATTCGTCATTATTCTGATAACTTTTAAAATTGGTTCGACATTATGTTTCCACTGATCTCAGCATTCGGAAGAAGATGTTCCTTCACTCAAACTATCAGTGTTAAACTCGTACACCCTACAAGACGCACACATAGCTTGCAGGTCAGGAACACGAAATTCTATGTAACATCAACGAGGGAAAATCGCTTAAAAGCTTGTAGAACCAGGATTAATCCGGATGGCTCAGTTGCATTCCACACAGGTAAGGCAAGACAAGCTCCAAACAAATGGATGATTATTCTCAAAGTATTGAGAATACTTAGGCCCGCAACTATGATTGCATTGCTACAAGCCGTTAACGTAGACGTGAGGGAGCTACGGCTCGGGGCAATAGCTATAGTAGGAGTTATATTTATTGTTTCGGGCTGTTTGTTTTATTGGACACATCTAGAGGAGTGTCCAATCACAAAGCGAAAGAAATTCTTAGTACTTTCAGCGGGTGAGAGGCAGACGATGGGAGAGCAATTGTCAGTCAAATTTGTTGAAAGGTACACAGGGAGAGTGAAGATGACCGGTGAAGCTTGTGAGCATGTATCTGGAATATGCAAAAGAATGGTAAAAGCCAACAAACACTTGCCGGGAATAAAGAAAGATTGGCGCGTGTTCATAATCGAGGATAGTAAAGTCAGGAACGCATTCGTCTTACCCAACGGACACATCTTTGTGTTCTCTGGTATAGTAGAAACGGTGAAAAACAATGATCAGTTAGCTGCAGTGGTGGGTCATGAGATGGCTCATGCTCTTCTGAACCACGCCAGTGAGAAGATGAGCAACACTCTATTGCTGAAGCTGATATTGCTGGTGCCCATATTGATCATATGGGCTAAGCTTCCTGAAGCAGCTGGGTACGCTGATTATCTCAGTGAAATCATGTTCACCCTCCCGATGAGCAGACAGCTCGAAACTGAAGCGGATGTCGTAGGCGTGGAGATGATGTCGAGAGCTTGCTTCGATCCTCGCCAGGCAGTTGAACTTTGGAAGCTAATGGACGAACTAGCTCGGACGAATAAAATTGAGTGGATGTCAACTCACCCAAGTCCTGGAACTCGCTACCAGACTTTGGAAAAACTCATGCCCGGCGCGATGGGTATATACTCTAGCCATTGTAAAACTTGAGCTACGAATTACAGTATCTTGAATGAGCGAAACAAGTTAGAGATCCGAGCTGAGGTTGAGTAGCTCTCTCAAACAATTAATTGCGGTGATGAGTTCAAAATGTTAATTTGTGTATGTTTTGTACATACGGTCTTGCGTCAAAGATGTTGAAAGAAATTGGGCTGATTTCAAAATGGCGGTGTTGCTAGAATCGTACATCAATAAGAAAGTGTCAAATAGTCTCAAATGTATTTGTTAATATTGTATCAATATCAGCTCGTTATGAATAATTGTAAATTTTAAAATTGTACATAAATATATTGTATTGCTTTTAATTTGAGTTTCAACGCCTTTGGTACTTTTTTTGTGAGAGTACGGGTTACACCCCGGTCTTGTCACTATTCTCATGGTCTTTTCATGTAGGAAGATATTTAACACTTGGGGAAGTTCTCTTTACCTTTTTACTTGATAGGTTTTTACTTGAACCGGATCCACAACTCAAGGTGCTCTTCGAGTCACCAGCATTATTACATACCTAAATTGATGACTGGCAGGTTTAAAATCCGTGCCTTCAGGCCAAATTCTCGCAGTCTAACCACTAAACCAGCCGACCATCTGTAGCCCCCTGTTTTCGACATGTACAGTCTGTAGTCGATGTTAAAATGAAGGGTGACACCAGCAATTACGTTATAGCATTGACTATAGTTAGTCAAAGGCAAAGGTTATAGTTTATATTTATTGATCGCCATTATCATACTAAAATGAAGTTGGTGATAACATGGTCTTTGGATACTGAAGTAGCCTACCTTCGGTGATAGTAAGCAGCAAACAATACAGTAATACAGTTACGTTCCACTACGTTAATACACATTAATAAGTAATACAGTTACACGTCTAAGAAATAGCTGATAGGTATTGTGATTGGTAGAACACAATTGCCTCCTCTAACACCTAGTGTACATCGAAGTACACAGTACTAAGAGAATTTAGTGTTCGGAAATCACATGTGTTATCATGCACAGAAACTAACGTGACTTCCAATTTAAATGTTCAGAGTGATGATAGAGCACGCAGGTGTGCTGAGTAAGGTGAGTGCAGCACCAGACATAGGTGATGAAGTGGTCATCCTTGATATGACGCCCAAGGTGTCATGCCGCGTGTACTGGTACAGCGTGGGCCAACAAGGCTCAAGATACCAACAGCTTCCTCATTGTCATGTCACAACTGTTTGTTTGCAGTCTATAGAATCCAAAATACAGTAGGAAAGTCACACCAATTGCTATGTACTTCGAAATATTGGTGTGCATATTTGCACTTAAGTTCCTGGTTTTCTACGCCTTTTTTGTTTGCTAGCCCAGGAAAATCAAATTAAAAGTACGTGATATACTAAACCAGCGAATGATCTAAGCCAGACTGCCTAACTCAACGTCAACGTGATTTCATAGAATCAGTAGAAGCAGAAAATATAACAAATAAACACAAAAATTAAATAAATACATGTTATACTACCACAGTGATATTGGTTTTGACCAAACCAAAGCTGAATGCGTCTAAGTGACTATAAAAATCAAGAGAAGCTGGCATGTATACTTCAAAAGCGATTCTTGGCTCTCACCAATGGTAGACGCATAATGAAGATGTAGAGGTGATGAAGAAAGATGCGTCGAATTGCGGAGTTAGTCTTCCACTCACTGACTTCAGTCTTCGCTAGGCATTACATTGTTATACTGCGAGTTATTGGCCTACCAATGGAAGTGACATGACACAAGTACGCAAGAGGCGCAACAAAAATTTCTTACGTTGCAGAACAAGGCGTCAATGAACCTTTATCAAATCAACAGAATCAGAAGTTGTCCCAACACATGAATGGAATTACATACCACTATAGTTATTTTCTTCGTCACTCAGCCAAGCTGCTGAACTGTCAACGTGACTTTATCAAATCAACAGAATCAGAAGTTGTGCCAAAACATGAATGAAATGACACACCTCTACAGTGATAATCTTCGTCACTCAGCCAAGCTGCTGAACTGTTAACGTGTCTTTATTATATCAACAAATTTAGAAGTTGTCTCAAAACACCCCTATAGTCTCATCTTCGTCACTCAGCCAGGCTGCTGAACTCTCAACGTGACTTTGTCATATCAACAAGAGCAGAGGTGGCCCAGATGTTTCAGTGACTGACACTATCGCTGATGATTCACTATTGGTGATGATTCCGGCTTTCTCCGCCTCCCTCACGTTCACTTGCACAACTTGCCTACTTACAATCGTCGAAGACGCTTATTACTGCACCACGCTGCGCCGGAGACGATTTATGTAAGTTGAGGTCATGAAATGAGGGCTTCGGGGCACAGCAATGAGATCTCTTAGAGTGATTTCGATCGCTTAGAGAGAATGGCTGGTCACTTATCATTGTAGCTGCCTAAATGCCTGCGGAGTGACTTGCTGTTATTACAGTGTGAAAAATGAATGATGCCATGTTTTAGGAAAAAAGATACCTTTCAAGCGTATAGGCATAGACAAAAAGAATGGTATAGGTAATCAAAATTTATGCCCTATGAATAATTATGATAACGAAACTCAGGATGGAATGAAGCTGGGCTGCATTCAAGCATTCCGGCTGATTTGTTTACCAAATAAACTTTAGGATACAGTTTAGATTCAACTGAATATTAGGGATTCGGACCTGAACTTTTATGATTTTGATTTTTTTTTCTCTCTGAATCTTATTTCCTTTGATTCCTACTTACTGATGCACAAAGTAATAACTAAGAAAAATAAGAGAATTTTTTATAGAAATCTTTTTTATTAGCTTTACTTCAGAAAACCTAACGTTCAATAATTAAGATAAACGCATTAAACAATGGCATCACCTAATAAAATAGGTATATGTAGAATAAATTATATATATAATAAAATAAAACATATAACTCAGTTATTTTACCAAAATATTATTTTTGTATTTGTTTAATCAGCTGTTAGGCAGTTCAATACGAATAGCATTTGAGAAACATAAATATTGTGGGTTTCTTTACTGTCCCCAAGGAAACCGGTCAATATTAACTTTTCTAAGCCCTACAATATTTGTATGCAAGGGGGACAGAAATCTAGGTCGATAACGTAAAGAGAATCGACAAGCTACGTAATCCTGTGTATATAAACTGTTTTTCTTCTTCCAAATTACAACCAAGTAGGACTTAAGTGGCTTCTACGTAATGGAAATTCAAGACGCAGTTATAAGACCTGTGTCATCTATTGTATAGAAAGGTAGGTATAATCAGTATGTTTTATCTATGGTATAATCAGCACAAAAGGATCTTGGATTTCTGAATGTTCTTCTTTCACTCAATGTTGAGCCGAAACTATTACCCGTCCTTAATGTAATCCTTCCATTTTAAGAGTGTTTTTCTCTGTTATCCAAAGTTCTCGCTTTTGTTCGAGAAGGCACGATGAAATGAAAAATATGGTATGAATACATCAATGGACTGCGTACAGTGCACTGTACTGGATTCTTGGTGAATGCAGAATAGAGTGAGATTAGCTTTGTGAAGATCATTCTTTAGCCAACAGCCAAGACCGTTTACCCAATGATTAAGGATGGCTGAACCAGGTTTCGGAGATCTTCCTTACTAACGAACAAACCAAACAGTTCCTTAAACACTTCTTCATAGCCAAAATACAATCTAAACTGGACATAGATCAGTCTCGAGATTGCGTTTCACGCCTCAGCTGTGGAACGGGACGTCAACACGTTGTAAAAGTAAGAGCGGTCAACACAATTTCGCCTATTTGTGCCAGTAGGGACGTCTTTACACCGGCCACTGTCCAGGGCGTTGAATGAGGTCTGCTGAAACGAACCAATCTGCCACGCTGCACACTTGACATCTCTCACACACACGACCTACATCACACGCACACACACACACGCACAAGCCTGCGAACGCTCCTCTCTTTCCCTCGATTGTAATTAACATTGTTCTTCAATAATGTTTTTGTTTTCTAGTTTGACGTCGATTTCACCTACGACTGCTTTGGACGGTATACGGAGAGTAGCAATCTTCTTAAATGCGATTACACTAGTTTCGGATTATTTACTTTCTAGTTTTACTTTCCTAATCTTAAATCCGGGATTACATTTTGAAATTATTTACTGTTCTACATTCTAACCTTATTCTATAAGGATCATAGGTGTTGGAGACGTGTATTCTTTCGTATAAAAATAAATCCGATAACCGATTAACAACTACTTAAACAAGTAGGTACAAGTGATTTTTAGACAATAAGTTAGCAAGAAAGTCTTTTCTTGAACATCCAAGGAAGGAATATCTTGGAAGCATTGTTGTGTGTATATATTATTTATTGGTAGTGACAGTTTCAACTAAGGGATCGCAAACTCTTAGAGAGTGGTCCGAACACATCACATTTTTGTGAATATACTGGGAAGCGAACCCTTTTCTCTCACCTAGTCTGAGAAACTAAAATCCAGGCCAACCACACATAACCTTAAACCTAAACCATCTTGCGCACAAACTATTTCCACCAAACAAAGGGTAGGAATCTGGAGACAATTTTATACAACAGCTCGCTTGGATATACACACATTTACCAGACTGTGAGGTGCCCGAGTGGGAGGTTTGTACGATTATCCACGTTTGCTCGCAATTCTTCACACGTAAGCGACGACCGCGAGAATGCGCTGGTCATCTTGCAGACACCCGTCTTGCGGCCCCGGGACCAACCAATGGAAATGTATCTAAGACGGACTGGACGATAGTTTGTTTAAGAGTCATTAGAAATCAATAAAATGTTGAATGGACCAAAGTAACATAACAATTCGTGGTACTGATTACGTAATATACCTAATAATTATAACCTAACCTAAGCTAAGAGTGGTTAGGTTAGGAAGATTAGGTTTTTTAAACTAATTAAAATCTTACTTAGAAGTCGATTTATCGGTGTGGTATAATACGTAAGTACCAAATTCGTGTTAGAAACCAAATATAGAGGCTATCTAAGTCAAATTGGTTTTGGATTAAGTGTTTATTGCGATCTTTTCATCTAATCACTCGCATGTTGCAGTAAGATGCTTGTATAGTACTTCACTTCCCCTTTACTAGGGTGCTCAATCATAAAATAATGATAGGCATACATTGTAAATTTTTTAAAGAACCACGGTCAATACATATATTTACTCTTCGTGATTTCCAATTTCATTACACTTGATTATAGCTTGGCTTTCTCAATATTGATTGGACGTGTAATATGATTACTGAGCAATTGTATTTGAAAAATGTAATAGAAACTTTAATTCTTTTCGTAAATAATATTTTTTTCCTCTTGTTTCAGAGACCGTGTGTTGTGTGATGGAGGCCCAGACGCCATGGTTCCTAGGGCGGTGGTCATGAGGGAGACGGGAGCACCCCCTCCCCCACCTGTCAAGAACACCACCTCCCTCCTGTCACTGCTACACAACTGTTCTAGTCACCAACACTACCCTCAGGTAAGTCAAGGTCATGAGGGAGACAGTAGCACCCCCTCCCCCACCTGTCAAGAACACCACCTCCCTCCTGTCACTGCTACACAACTGTTCTAGTCACCAACACTACCCTCAGGTAAGTCAAGGTCATGAGGGAGACAGTAGCAACCCCTCCCCCACCTGTCAAGAACACCACCTCCCTCCTGTCACTGCTACACAACTGTTCTAGTCACCAACACTACCCTCAGGTAAGTCAAGGTCATAAGGGAGACAGTAGCACCCCCTCCCCCACCTGTCAAGAACACCACCTCCCTCCTGTCACTGCTACACAACTGTTCTAGTCACCAACACTACCCTCAGGTAAGTCAATGTCATGAGGGAGACAGTAGCACCCCCTCCCCCACCTGTCAAGAACACCACCTCCCTCCTGTCACTGCTACACAACTGTTCTAGTCACCAACACTACCCTCAGGTAAGTCAAGGTCATGAGGGAGACAGTAGCACCCCCTCCCCCACCTGTCAAGAACACCACCTCCCTCCTGTCACTGCTACACAACTGTTCTAGTCACCAACACTACCCTCAGGTAAGTCAATGTCATGAGGGAGACAGTAGCAACCCCTCCCCCACCTGTCAAGAAAACCACCTCCCTCCTGTCACTGCTACACAACTGTTCTAGTCACCAACACTACCCTCAGGTAAGTCAAGGTCATGAGGGAGACAGTAGCACCCCCTCTCCCACCTGTCAAGAACACCACCTCCCTCCTGTCACTGCTACACAACTGTTCTAGTCACCAACACTACCCTCAGGTAAGTCAAGGTCATGAGGGAGACAGTAGCACCCCCTCCCTCACCTGTCAAGAACATCACCTCCCTCCTGTCACTGCTACACAACTGTTCTAGTCACCAACACTACCCTCAGGTAAGTCGAGGTCATGAGGGAGACAGTAGCACCCACTCCCCCACCTGTCAAGAACACCACCTCCCTCCTGTCACTGCTACACAACTGTTCTAGTCACCAACACTACCCTCAGGTAAGTCAAAGTCATGAGGGAGACAGTAGCAACCCCTCCCCCACCTGTCAAGAACACCACCTCCCTCCTGTCACTGCTACACAACTGTTCTAGTCACCAACACTACCCTCAGGTAAGTCAAGGTCATGAGGGAGACAGTAGCACCCCCTCCCCCACCTGTCAAGAACACCACCTCCCTCCTGTCACTGCTACACAACTGTTCTAGTCACCAACACTACCCTCAGGTAAGTCAAGGTCATGAGGGAGACAGTAGCACCCCCTCCCCCACCTGTCAATAACATCACCTCCCTCCTGTCACTGCTACACAACTGTTCTAGTCACCAACACTACCCTCAGGTAAGTCGAGGTCATGAGGGAGACAGTAGCACCCCCTCCCCCACCTGTCAATAACACCACCTCCCTCCTGTCACTGCTACACAACTGTTCTAGTCACCAACACTACCCTCAGGTAAGTCAAGGTCATGAGGGAGACAGTAGCACCCCCTCCCCCACCTGTTAAGAACATCACCTCCCTCCTGTCACTGCTACACAACTTTTCTAGTCACCATCACCAACACTACCCTCAGGTAAGTCAAGGTCAAGAGAGAGACAGTAGCACCCCCTCCCCCACCAGTCAAGAACACCACCTCCCTCCTGTCACTGCTACACAACTGTTCTAGTCACCAACACTACCCTCAGGTAAGTCAAGGTCAAGAGGGAGACAGTAGCACCCCCTCCCCCACCTGTCAAGAACACCACCTCCCTCCTGTCACTGCTACACAACTTTTCTAGTCACCAACACTACCCTCAGGTAAGTCAATGTCATGAGAGAGACAGTAGCACCCCCTCCCCCACCTGTCAAGAACACCACCTCCCTCCTGTCACTGCTACACAACTGTTCTAGTCACCAACACTACCCTCAGGTAAGTCAAGGTCATGAGAGAGACAGTAGCACCCCCTCCCCCACCTGTCAAGAACACCACCTCCCTCCTGTCACTGCTACACAACTGTTCTAGTCACCAACACTACCCTCAGGTAAGTCAAGGTCATGAGGGAGACAGTAGCACCCCCTCCCCCACCTGTCAAGAACACCACCTCCCTCCTGTCACTGCTACACAACTGTTCTAGTCACCAACACTACCCTCAGGTAAGTCAAGGTCATGAGAGAGACAGTAGCACCCCCTCCCCCACCTGTCAAGAACACCACCTCCCTCCTGTCACTGCTACACAACTGTTCTAGTCACCAACACTACCCTCAGGTAAGTCAATGTCATGAGGGAGACAGTAGCACCCCCTCCCCCACCTGTCAATAACACCACCTCCCTCCTGTCACTGCTACACAACTGTTCTAGTCACCAACACTACCCTCAGGTAAGTCAAGGTCATGAGGGAGACAGTAGCACCCCCTCCCCCACCTGTCAAGAACACCACCTCCCTCCTGTCACTGCTACACAACTGTTCTAGTCACCAACACTACCCTCAGGTAAGTCAAGGTCATGAGAGAGACAGTAGCACCCCCTCCCCCACCTGTCAAGAACACCACCTCCCTCCTGTCACTGCTACACAACTGTTCTAGTCACCAACACTACCCTCAGGTAAGTCAAGGTCATGAGAGAGACAGTAGCACCCCCTCCCCCACCAGTCAAGAACACCACATCCCTCCTGTCACTGCTACACAACTGCTAAACAACTTTTCTAGTCACCAACACTACCCCTAGGTCAGTCAGAGGTAATATAAGACGACAGCATATTTTCCTTCACGACCAACAAAAACATATGGTCGGTAGCAACAGTGTTTTGGTGTCCTACATTTAATCAAGTTCTAGGTGTTTTTATTTTTAAGAGGTTGGCGGCCTATTTTAAACTTTTCCATATAGGCCTCGGGCCTGTGCATGGACACATTCAGCAATTTAAGGGGTGAGCTGATGCAGTGCAAGGTTGGGCTGTACTGATAAAAAGAAGTAGGCAGGTACCATGACCTGAACTCAAGACATCACTGCCTTGGGCCCAAAATCTGTTGCGCTGCTGACTGAGGTATTGACTCTCACAAACTCATATCTCTGGTATCCAGTATCTTGTATAAGTTGTATTCCTGACTGATATATCTACTGCTAAGCTAAGACAGTCCAACCCAATAATTTTGATGATTCCCTAATTTTTCATACTGGGATGATAAAATTACTAAATACGAACGTGTTATTCCAGGGTAGTGTAGGCAGTGGGTCGCCTCCGCCTGCGCCTGTCAGGGACGTCTCAAGTCTCAAGGCGGTGCGCTACGGCCCGGGACATGAGAAGTACCCTTCGTGGCCGGCTCCAGCGGCGCCCCGCACCTCCCTCGGTGGCTCCAGCAGGTCCAAGTCGTGGACGGACCAGACCCACTACCCCAAAGAGGAGCCGCCCTCGATCAGTCGACCTTACAACAAGCGCATCAACCCTCTCTTCAGTCAACAGGTTGGTGTACAAACTGTATTTGTTTAGACTATTGATAGGATAGAACTTTCTTTCTTGATGAATTGTGTCGCTATTTAAAAATAAATAAATAGGTCGAAGTTGAACTGAGTTACCAACCGGTTGATGTAAGATAGATTTTTCTCTTGAATATGCTAAATTGTTTACCAAGTCAAACTGATGGGGGGAAAATATATTTTTTTAATGTAGCGACAGACAAGTAAGGTACAGAGGAAACACGCTTGTGCACTTTCAGCGCTGGTATGTTGGAGTGGAAGTATACTTGTGATGAGCAAGGAAGAGCTTGAACAGCAAGCATTGTGTGGAATTCCTTATGTCACTGTGAGGGGTGTTGTACTTGAGGGGGAGGGTGAGCGGTAGAGGACTTTGCCATAGACACCAGCACTAGTGCTAGACACCACTTGAGTGTACCATGGAGTGTATCCTCTGTTTCTTACTTCTCTGTGCTGTAGCGCACTATATTAGTAGCTCATTCAACGATGTTCTTTTATGTCTACTTCAGTATCCTATCGAAAATGAAAATGCAAAAATGATAGTGAACCCGCTTTTAACCGCCCCTGCATTAATCACGGTTCGGATTAACATCCTTCAGGCAACAATAGACTTTGGTTTATCAGCCTTATATTTACATCCCTCTTAAAAAACCCTGGATTAACCGTCTGCTCAGTTAAAAATAAAGGTTGGCATTCCTGCCCTTAATTTTGGAGACTGTTTTCCCTAACCTTTTCTTGGAATAGATAGAGAGACACCCGGTTCCTTGGTTTGGATAGACATCCGTGTCCATCCTCCCTCATTGGTGAAATAGTATAGGATAGGACTTTTATTTATATTATTTTAGTAAAAACCCGAGATTGTTTCTAGACCCAGATGCTGTGTGTCATTAATTAATTATAGCCTACTATCTAATAAAAGGTTCAACTGTTAAAGGTACGGGGGGGGGGGGGGGCTGTTATCAGGTAGTAACAAGGTCAAGGTTTAGACCGACCCCTTACAAAAAGGTAAAAAATTGTCAATGGCATAGAAACTGACACACAAATAATAAAACATTAATTTCTACATTATATTTAATTTTACATAGTTGCCCGTTCCGACTCTAGGTTTTTCGACATATGCATGATCACCTCAGGGTAGGTTAGGAGAGGTTTTACTGTACTTGGATTAAGTAATTAAATACAATCAGCACCTCACAGAGCGAGGTGAATATTCTAGCAATTATCTAGTCTGATTAATTTGGTCTATATTCACTAATTAACAGCTGTCTGTTTAAAAAAACCTTGAAAAGATAATTACAGTTGCAAATCACTGTAGTTACAACGCTTGTTATATTCTACCATTGATTATCAAACAAAAAGTTGAATTTGGTTTCCCATGTTTATAGTTAGGTCGGGTTGATGAATCTGATATTCTGTAAACAGCTGATTAGCTTTAAAATTTAAATGAATTGCTATTCCAAAGATGATCTTGTTGATAAAAAAAAAAAAAAAAAAAACGGGGAAAGGTTACATACTGTTCTCTTTAACCAAACGTATAATTTGGTTTTCATTTTTTAGGTTGTGGTTTTTGTGAAAAAACTTAATGTTTTAGTCAATCTGATGATACCAAAACCGTAACACGTTATGATGGGTACAGATTTTAGAAATCTTTCATTCTGAAAAAAAAAAACTCCTTAAGTCAATTAAATAGGATGTTTGGGTTTTGCACACACAATCAGTTAAACTTAAATGAGACTCCTTATATTGCATTTAAATGTGTTGCTATTATTATTGAAATGAAGATGTTACAGAATGAACTAATAATTGTAGTGATCATTACATATAGGGGCCGCTTAGCATACAATGTTTATGCATAAGCCATGAATAATTCCCAGCTTGTGCAATTGGGGCTATAACTTGCAACTTTCCTAATGAACTATCCATTATAGAGAAAGTGAATTAATAGTTATGAATCTGTGGCTCTTTCATTGCAAAGGAGGAGTTGTTGCCAATGGCTGTAAGGCAATTTACATTTTAATGTTTCTACTGTTCAGAAAGCATTTTGTTGGAGGAAATGGTTTTGAAATATTTCACATGACGATACAATGGACTTAATATTTTGAAATTAGTGGGCCAAAAAAAAAAAAAAATAAGTATCAAGAGTAAGATCAATTTGAATTACAAATGAGACTTAATTTGTTTAAATACTGAATTATGTAAGGTACAGAACTTTATAATTAAAACAGCTTATTTGAGTTACTTTAAAGAAAACAACTACTTTTTAGTTAGTTGCAAAAACACTATTATTTTTATCTTTTTGCTATTGATTCTTGCGCCATCAATGACAGTTAAGAGGAACTACTTTGCTAACAATGGATGTATAGTTTCTTGTTATTAAGTGTATGACAGGAGGGAATCAATCTATCAATCCCTCCCTTCGAATTATAGAGTGTTTTGCCCATGAAACTTCAAAAATCTGCTTGCCCTCTGCTTTAACATCAAAATACAGAGTATCATAATTCATTTGAAATATTAAGTGATTCTCTACGGACTGAGGTTTTATTATGAATCATTGAAAGTTTTGATTTATCGAGTGTTTGAATTACTGGGAGTGGAGTGGACTGTAATTCAAATTACTAGAGTTGTGAAAGGTCAATATTTTATCATCATTTCCTATTTATGCAACGGGGTATTGGATCAAAAACATTACATAGGGTTAGGTCAAGGTAGTTAAGATCATGTGTTCAGGACCTTTTCAGACCATAAATGTTAAAAGCAATGAGTTACACTGAATCACCACATGAGGTCTATGTTAGAAGGTCGCGCCAAGGTCATGTGTGGGTTTGGTGCACCAACATAACTTAACCCACGCTCTCATCCGAGTGTAAATCCTCAGTCGAGTGTCAAAAGCTGCACAGTCATGCCTCACTGTCTGACTTAATCGAAAACAAGAGCGGACTAGTGCACTCAATCACCACCGAGGTCGACACTCAATAGAGTTGATGATTTCTGTGCGGATCGAGAGTTAATAACTGGGTACTCGGAGTCAAGGCCAGATGCGTTGTCGACTGGTCTTGCAATCTCAGTGAAGGCACTCAACGTCCCTGGTTGACGTTGACTCTTTATATCTATCCGTCGACACTTTTGCATGAGATTCTTAGGCCACCTACCTTCTAATTTCCTGTTGCTAATGTACCTGCACTGGGTTTAATTAGAGTGCATCACTTGCAGCGCTTAATTACTGAGGATATTGTGATATGCGCTCTAATGACTGGAGATTACATAGTAGGACAAACTAAACTGTTCAAACTAGTTTCGAGTGCTTACAGTTTAACAAAGGGTCTTGTTGTATAGTCTGATTAGTGTGAAAGTGTTCAAAATAGCTGAGTTTTAACCTGCTTGTAAAAAAATCCAAGATGAAGAACCATTTACATTACAAAATATATTGTAGCTTTATTACATTATCTGAAATAAACTAACTGTTTAAAAAAATTATGTTTAACCTCTAACTTCAAACTACAAACTATTTGAACTACTATTGTTTTTCAAAATACAATAAAGCTCTAACTTCTCTTTCATCTTGTCATACTATGCCAGTCAGTGGCGTACCCAGAGTGGGTTTTAAGGGTTTAAGCCCCCCTCCTTGACCTTAAAACATTATATTTTTACAATTACGATTTTTGTTCTACAATTAAAATAGGTATCTCTTTTATGTCTTTAAATACCCTAAAAACGCAAGTTTACAGATATAATTTTCACAAATTTTCCGGTGGAGGACTTCCGTACCCCCCACTTCCCTCGGGGGTACTCCAAACCCCCCAGACCCCCGCTGTAACCCCTTTAGGGGCATCCTAGTTACGCCTATTATGCCAGTTTACATGGACATACTCAATCTTGCTATTCTGAATGCTTCTGTAGATATATATATATTTCTAAGTTACGTCCAAAAAGGTTTATGGTTAAAACAATTAACCTTTTAAAAACCGTAAAGGATCTCATTGATTGTCTTGGTTCATGATCATTAGTCAAACAACCCAAATAACAAAGCTGCAGTCTGTAATCAAGGTCGGAGATGGAGAAGATGGGAGGCGGGTTTGACCTACAAAGGTTTACATATCGCAGGCCTTTGTTTTCACTTCCTGCTTTCTGTTTCTTCCACTTGTGTATCTTTGGAACAAAAACATTGATATCTGCCATATTGTTGGATTATTTTGTGGTTTTTTCCCTATGTATTTCAATTATTTCAGTCTTGCATCAGAAATTTTTATAACTTGAATAGTTTAGCTTTCCTGCTATTTTGTGAGGATGTTTGTGTGTACAGCTGGCTAACCCTAGTCGTTAAGTCATTGCTAATACATATATTTTTTTATATTTAAAAAAATTATAAAACATATTTAAAATTTTAACTGGGCTCGTTTATTTGAATTTGGATTTTATTATCAGCTATTTGTCTTTACTCAAAAATATGTTGTTATATGATCAAATAACTGGTTTTCATGTTTTATCCGTGAAATTATTAATATTTAGGTTTTATCCCCATTTAATGACTGGACCATTTCTACTATTAAACTTTAAAAAATACCAAACTTGTATCAATTGCTGTTCATTCTGCCCTTCTTCAACAATCATTTCATACCTCAGTTATAAATACTATTGTATAATTCTTAGACTTTTATAACCACAATGTTAGATTTACCAGCTGGTTTACATGTAAGAGCCATTAATTATAGATTAGTTACAGTAAGAGTATTGAACTATTTTTATAAATGTGTTAAAATGTCTTTAATTTAACAACAAACTAAGAGACAAACTCAGGATGTACAATGAATAACAATTCTTATCTGACACAAGCATTACTTAATTCACCTTGGATAACAGTTCATTCTAACTACACGTGTCTCTTATTTTATCTTTTATTTATTTTTTTTTAAAGTTTATTATGACAATTAGCCATACAAGATTTTGAATTCCAAATTGTATAGTTAGGGTATGTTAAGTACTTAGACTAACGGTTCTTTAATCAACAAGGTATAGAGTCGTTAAAAAAATCTTGATTCAGTTTTTAACCTTTCAGTAAACTTAATCGTTTTCCCAGGATGGAAATGACTTTCTGATTCAAAAGCGGGTAATGTAACTCCCCAACCACCCAGCCGGTTTGTCTGTCAATAGATTACGCATCTTTGAGACACTTCTGACAAGAAATGCTCAATGATGCTATAAAAAAACTTACACATTTGCCACCAAATACCTTGAACCACATCAGCTGAAGTAAAATAAATTAAGTCACTTACTGGTATTCCTTCTAAGTCAATCCACCTAAATTGTTACTTACTTACTGCCATGGCTCCACAAATCTCAGTTGATTCTTTGCTCCGTGTAGTTTCTTCCACCCTTCTCGGTCATCTGCCAAAATGATGTTTGCTGCAATTGTCCTTCCCAATGGACGCTTACCTCCAGGTGTGGGGTAGCGGATTTTTATCGCCCTGGAATTTTATCCCCTGGGCAAACGTGACGTCACAAACCAGGGGTAAAATTCCGGCCGCGAACTTTTGAGTTTCGCGACATCAGCTCAATGGATTAAACGCGGAATTAAACATATATTTTCACGGTTGTGAATTTAATCAGAACACATCAAATTATAAAAACCTAGAGTGTACGGCCCGGATTTTTACCCCCGGAATTTTACCCCCGGATTTTTACCCCCCGGATTTTTACCCCCGGAATTTTACCCCCTGGCCAGATATATAAATTAGTGAGAATGATTAATTATCTTCATTCTGTTTTAATTTAATAGTAAACATTTTATTATTAAGTAGCCTATCTTAATTTATTTGTAACATCAACTAATAGAACAGGTTTTTGATTTTAATTTTGAGATTCGAGTATCAGGATTCGATCTTTGAAGCCAACTGTTGATTAATATGACGTATAAACAAACATCAGAATGGTAATTGATTCGAAGATTTCTTTAACGATTTATTGGTAAAACAATGTTTTTGTTTGTATTGTAACAATAACAAAATATGCCTTATTGTTTCTTTACGAAGAAATGTTCACTCAATTATCATTTAAATTAGATATTCAGTTTATTTTACATACTTATTAACCAACAGTTGGCCCCAAACGCAAATCTCGAACATCAAAATTAAACAGCGAATTCTGTTGACTTATTTGAGAATACAAAATAAATAAATAAAGAAAGGCTACTAAATAATGAAATGTTTACAATTAATTAAAAACAGAAATAAGAAAATCAATAATTTAATTTCTAAAATTGGCCAGGGGAAAAATTCCGGGGGTAAAAATCCGGGGGTAAAAATCTGGGGGGTAAAATTAAGGGGGGTAAAATCCAGCCCGTACATCTTCAGTTGTCTAAACGCTAGTTATATGGACATGGGGTAAAATTCCAGGTTTTATCGCTAATCTAATTAATCACGCTCTGGCTATTTTCATTAGACTTCCAAATCCGCGGGGGTGAAATTCCGGCCGTGAACAAACTTTTGGCCACTCAGGCTACTATGTCATAGTGACGTCAGATTTGCCCAGAGGGTAAAATTCCAGGGGGATCAAATTCCGGCGACCCCCAGGTGTGACTCTCAAAACTTCACACAGTCTCGTTCCTTTCTCTCTTCTTAGCACATGCCCTATCCAACATCACGTCTTGCCTTAACCAACGCAACAATACTCGGGCGTATAAAAAAAATCTTTAGGACAATAAAATTAAGTCCATAGCTTATTGAAGTTCACTTCTAGTAACGGTAAGTTCATGTTATTTGAGGTGCTATTGCAGACATTTTTCATCATCGTTGGCAATATATAAATTGTTCGTAATGTTTTGGGATCTGGAATCTGGTCTTGTTGGTGAGTCGATGGCTCAGTCGGTAGCACCTCAGACTTCGGGCCCAAGTTGGCATGACATGGGTTCGGATCCTGATATCTACTACTACTTTTTATCGGTACAGTTCACCCATGTACTGTACGGCTCACCCCTTGCTTTGCTGGATACCTTCCACACACAGATTCATAGCCTATGTGGATGGGCAAGTGTGTCAATGATGTCAACCTCTATTTTTTTATGAAAGAAAAAAAATGTGAAAAGTTCCCAAAAACATAACAAGATTAGTGTTGGTACTTAACCCAGCCCGATGCTGGAAAACCGCAAAAGAAAAACCACACACAGAATTGTATGGTAGTAATACGAAAAACAATTTTGAGCCACCATATTGTGCAGACATGTCCATTGTGCTTACCTACCATTTTTACTTCCTCGCCTGACAACTGGATCAGATACCAGATCCCAAATATTGTGAAAAATGAAAAATGTCCACTATAATCCTTTAAAATAACATGTGCATCCTAGACGATGCAATTCACAGTCGAAACACTTGGATTTATGATAATGTAATAAACGATTGTGATTGTACCACTGCCAGAGAGTAGATCCAAAGAGCTGTAAAATAATCACTGGATTAACAACCATGAACTCCGTTACAGTTGAAGACAGTGATGGAGAGGTGCGAGAAGATCGGCCCAGAGTCGTATCTTCCTCGCCCAGAGTGTGACGGCAGCCGGGACTACAACGTTCCTTCGCCTCCGGAGAGAGACATTGGTCTGACACAAGCGGACCTGGAGGAGTACACTCGCACCTTCCAAGACCCTTCCTTCACCCAGGTGATCAGAAAACTCATAAGTACATCAATTACACCATGCTTTACAGGAAATGAGTTATAGGATTCAAATGGTCATTCATTATCAATGCATTAGAGAAAGCAACACCTAAGTGCTAAGTGTGTATTTTAATCCGAATAGTGAATTAAATGCAAAATGAGTGCAAAATCCTTGACAATGGAGTGTAGTAGATACCCATACCTGTTAAGAACAAGTTGGTATAGTGGTAGAGCGTGGGACTTGGCCTCTGGGACCACGGGTTCAAATCTTACCAATCACCGGCTTTAAGCAAAGTGATAATGCCGCAACCTTCAATACCAAGTCTGAAGCAATGTGTAAAACAGTTCAGAGCTATAGCCTTGGGTCCTAGGATTTAAAATGCAATATCGAAAAGAAATCTCTGTCATTGGCTCGTACTACATCTATTTTTATTCTAACACTGGCCGTAGTTTTGACATGAGATGTTTACTTCTACATTCTACCAATCATCAAAGACAGTACTTTTCCATATATTTTGAGTTAAAAAAATCTACTGGCAAGAACCGTCTATTTGTGGCAGACCTACCTCCACAAAACCCCCTTATGTTCATTCAACCTTATCTTGAGTTGAGGAAAATTGAACGGTATAAGCAATTGAAATGGATAGAGCTAAAGATATTTTGCGACCAACATACTTAAGTGATTATAGTAGTTACGATTTACTGAAAGCTTTGAGATCATATCCTTGGGTTAGATATTGGATGGATATTAGACATTAGATTGAAATGGAATTTCTCAACTAACCAGATTCTTTAAAGATAGAAAGCACAAACACTCTTTATCATTTTGATTTTTTTCTTTAGTTTTTGTGTTTTTATGTCATTGGCAGTTTTAACGTTTGTAGTGTGAGAACAATCTGAACCATGTTTTTGTCCCAATTGAAGTTGACCTTATGTTAGATGCCATTATTAGTAACATACATGTATAATCAATCAATCAATCAATCAATCAATTATTGAGATGGGGACGCCACCTAGGAGCGTATTTTAACCCAAATATGAGTGAAGGATGAGTGTAGAATGGTGTGTGATGACCTGTGTAGCTTTGTTACTGACTAAGATCAGCGGTTTCATTAGTCAGGATCATTTATTTAAAGCCCAATGATCAGGAACAGCTGGGTCCAGTTTCGAACCATCAAAAAGCTACTAACCTTTCTCAGGATCGAACCGGCGACCTTTTGATTACTAGGCGAGCACTATAACCACTCAGCTACCCAGCCAGTCATTTAACATTTATTGATATTAACAGTTATTTAACACTGCATTGATACACGCATTTGATGTGATCTAATATTTTCTCTGAAGCCACAACCATATTTGATTAGATAAATCCTCTGATAATCCCACAACCTGCCACACTGTTTTTGTACTTTATCGCAGTTAAACTCAAAGTTATCTCCCACATAAAATGTGAATCTAAAGATTATTGCTCCAGTCAATAAATATTGCATTAATAAAAATCTCTGTCAGAAAGTCTAAAATAAGACTTGAGCGTAGGTTTTTTACAGAGCCAAACCGATTAGGAAAGTGGTTTGAAAATAATTATATCCCACTAAAACATGTAAATTATAGTTCTGTAGTGGCAAAACTCTAATCTCGCGAACAAGTTGGCCAGCAAAGTCCATAAAATAGCTGCTGCTCCAAGGCAGGATAATTTGCATTCATTACTGTGAAATGGCACTAGACAGCAGGAAAAACAAAACAGTTATTACGGCTAATCCAAAGAAGTGTTATCTAATATATTAAACAACACAAAAGAGCAAATGTTTAGCATTCTGAGTGGATGTAAACTACTTCTCTGTTCTTCGGAGTCTATTGACAGTAAATATTCCAAGGTTTTTTCACACCTCTTGACTTGAACCTGCTTCTGTTTTGTTAATTCACAAAAAACCCTGTTATTCAGTTAGATTTATCTGATGAAGTATCTACTTAATTAGAACAATTAATGTTCCAGTAACAGGTTGTGTAAAAAAAAATTTATCTTTTAATCTGTTAGTGAATTTCTTCTATAGGGAAGAAGCTATTACCGTAGGTGGCACAAAAGAGATCTAGCCGCAAGACTGATTTACTTTTTAGTATTCTTGTCCCCAGAGGTGAAAAACACTATTCATTATTATTTATATATTTATATTTATGTGTGTCCATGGACATAATATTTTGAGTAATTTCGATCTGGTTTGGATTAAATTTCTTATGAATGTTGATAAACTTAGATCGCGAACTAACAAGAAGGTAGGAAGAACAGGGAGTTCTGGGGACTTGACTAATCAGATGAAGTATCAACTTAATAAGATAAGAATTAATGTTCCTGTAACAGGTTTTGTAAAAAAAACTTAATCTGTTAATCTGCGTATTTTATGTTTTCTTGTAACTTGCTGTCTAGACTGTCTAAATGACATTCATACAGACTGTCCCAAAAGTCCCAGATCGGTTTAATATTTTCTAAATGACGACAGATAAATCAATAAGATTTGGTACATCAATACCACACATAAAAAAAATCTAATTTTTTTAGGAAATATCAATTTTCTGCTTTTTTTAGCAGAATATACTGCCGCAAATTTGAACTCAAACGGACAACCGAGCCAAGAATGACAGTGGTTCAAAGATTAATTTAATTTGCATTGCTATTATACGCTTACTCCTCAGGGGGCACAGCCCTAGGAATCAGAAGAAAATTGTTAGCGTAAGCATAGGTCGATATGCACATCAAATCAAAGCTCTTCACTAGTAGATTACAATGCCGTAAATTCAAGCTCAAAAGAACGCCTGAGTAATAATAGCAGTCGTTCAAAGATTCAAAATGGCAGATTCAAGAAATCTTTGAACGGCTGCAATTTTTTACTCAGTTATCCGTTTGAGTTCAAATTTGCATTATATTATATTATATTATATTGCATTATATTCTGCTAGTAAAGGTGTTTAATTTTATGTACATGTCAACCTATGCTTCTATTTAAGATATCCTTTGACTCCTTGCGGGACGTCCCCAAGATATGACAGAAAATTGATAGTTCCTTAAAAAAGAAGATTTTTAGGTGTGGTGTTGATGTACCAAATCTTATTGATTTATCTGTTGTCATTTAGAAATTATTAAACCGGTCCGGGACTTTTGGGACAGTCCGTACATATATTGCACTATAGTACACTTTTTGGGGTCGCCGGATGACTGCCCCCCGGAAAACTACCCCCCCAAGCAGGTTCCTACGTCATATTGACGTCAGAGACCGGGGGGGCAGTTTTCCAGTCACGGACACTCAAATTTAGTTGTCAAACAGTTCTAATCTAACCTAACCTAACCAACCAAACTTGCTGTAACATTTCGAAAATCTGTTTTATATTCACCACATGCCTTTTCTGTTATCCAACGGAATTACTCGAATTAAAATTAAAATTACATAGCATGATTTGTCTAGGGGGGGTAGTATTCCAGTCGCGGACACGGCTTCCATATTGTTTAGTTAGCAGATTTTGTGACGTCACGTTTCACCTGGGGGGGTAGTTTTCCTGGGGATAGTATTCTGCATCCCCATGTACATGCAATTAAATATCTTGACTTAAAAATAGTAAATTGTGTTCTGTAATATTCGTGATCTAAGTGGTCTACCACTATTTAAGCGTATTGCCTGTTGACAGAGTCAGTCTTAGGTAGTGTGGGGCCCTGTGCAAACATTCATCAGTGATCATGATTTTTGCTTGATACAACAACGGAAAAATAGAATGTGCGGTGAATATTGGGGATTATTCAAAAACAAAATTTGCAAAGGCTTTTAACAGGCATTTGTTGTGTGTTTCTGTCCAAAGCGCCCCCCGCTACCACAGATGCAGGGCTCTGTGCAGCCGCACTTTCGCACATGCCTATAAGGCTGGCTCAGCCTGTTGACAGACATGGTTTCAATCTATCTAACACTTCCATGAGTAGTTAAAAAAGTTAAAATAGTTGGAAAAAGTTAAAATAGTTAAAAAAGGGAAGGGAGCAAGTTATAATTAGGTACTTTTAATACCTTTGAATCATGGATAAAACTAGATTCCATCCCCATGTTAAAGTTGTCGTCAGTTTTTGTATCAAAATGGAATGGACGTTGTTGATTTGAGCCACCAATAGAATGCTCTGATCTAAATTACTGATGCACTAATTTTTCAACCTAGTCAAACTAATTAGACCACTTATTGTAATTTATGTCTCATCAACTAACTAAGTAGCAAAAATTAAGGGGGGAAAATAATAGAATTGTAGGGTAGCGCACTCTATAAATGCCTCATTATTCAACTATGTCCTTGAATAAGAAAATTGGTGATGGCTGGTTCTTGTATATGAGATGTCTACATTATTGTACCTAAAAGTCAATGATTAAACATAGATCAGCTTTAATACACTCCATTGTCTTCTACCCATTCAATTAATGTAACTAATCTCATTATTGAAAGATAGTTTATATTTATAGTCTTCAGATTTTCTAGATCAAATCCAAACTGAAACGAGCTTGTTTTGTCATGAATATAACCCTGTTTACACGAGTGGTTGCTGTCAACAGCTGGAGTCTCAGCTGACGCAGGCCGATCTGGAGCAGTACAGCCGAGCGTATGACGAGGCGTCGCTGCGGACAGTACATCAGACGCAAGCCTCCTACGCGCAGTCCGAGGGCTACCACAGCTACGTGTCCAGCACCGACTCAACCACCACCACACCTTTCTTGGACAGGTCAGTTAACTACTGTCATTCGTAGGCTTTCATGAGTGTTGTCATAAGAACCCATAATGAATTTTGGCACCAACCGCCTCATCGATGGAAGAGGGATACCACCTAATATAGCTCAATAATAAAGCTGAAAAATAAAATTAAAGACCGTGACCCCATTGTATTGGTATTTAGAAGTCACACAAATCTACAAAATACCCTTTAAATATATATTGCAGGTGAAAGCACAAATCAATCTTGGTGTTTTAACCTAAATAAACATTATATCCATTAACATGAATTTTGCGAAGTTCTAAAACTTTAAATGGTTTCGCCTTCAATCCATGTTATAATGATAATTTGACAGGCTGCGCAGGGAGAGTGAAGCTGCGAGGTTGGAAGGCCACGAGTCGAGCGCAAGTTCCGGCTCATCTAGTGAGACACTCAAGTGGCACGGATCGTTGAGTGATGTGTCGAGTGCTGGTGGCAGCAGTACCAACTGTCCTCCCCTGATTGCTCACTCCGCTAAGGTAGGCCTACTGAGTTGTTGATACAAACATTATTGTTTTAACTTATGAACTTTTTTGTTATTGTTGTTTTCAACTTTGGACGCCTTTAATGGAACTTAAGTACGGAGTAACTAAACAGTTACTCGAGTAACATGTTTTTCACAAAATAAAACTTTTATCCAAAATACATGATTGAATTTGCGAATTAATTTAGATTAGTCTACAAATATCTGGGTTAAAACTTGCCTAAAACTTGTATCACAATCCATAGAACATTTCAAGCCAAACTATTGGTAACATTTGTGAGTGGAGGACATACTACGCAAAGTATCTCCTAACTAGACACTCATACACAGTCCTCTTCAATTATACACTGTTCACAAAAATTAGATGGTTTTAGGAGAAGAAATCTATCACCTACACTTGATCTACCTTCACCTTCAAAACAATGGCTCAACAGCTGAGGTTTGTCAAAACTTCAAATCAGCTGCAACATAAGCAACAAAATTAGTTGTTGAATTTCCCCTCTAACCATCTAAATTTTGTGATTTAACTATAAAACAAATATACAATGAGCCTTAGTACTTCAAAGTGGGCTGGGAATCAATAAGAAAGAAAAGTTATACCCTGAAGCTAGAGTAAGACAAGTCCAGTCTTAAAACAGTGTTTGTCAATAGCTATATTGTTATGAGTCCTACCATAGATAAAACATACTCCCTTAGTAGATTTCTCATCCTAATGGAACAGCTGAAGACAATTTTATTGTTAGTTCTGTACGGTTTATGTAGAGGTCGTGTTTTGTTTACAATTTGTTTCCCATTAATAGAGTAATTTTAAACCTCATTTAACCAAATAATACGATCTAAACATAAACAATAAATTGTCCCCTAGTTATTTAACCAAACAGTAAAGCACAAATCAAGAAATTAACCCCAAAATAATAGAAACAAAATTTCGTCGACACTAGCGCCCAGTGTGGCGTACATGAACTAGACATGAAAAACGAGCTTCAAAATTTACAATGCGATGAGAAGTCTACTTGTGTTGGTTAGTCTATGGTCCTACCCATTTGTTTAACAAAGAGCTTTTAATATACCCATAACCAATTTAATGGATGGTAGGCTAGGCAAGCTGGGTTGGTAGCAATGAGTACAGGTAAGACAATTTTAAGAGTATTCTAAATTGAAGTTAAGAGTATTTTTTTTTGCTACTCTGTTTTTTTTCACAGTATATCTTTGGGTTTTATGTTTTGTGGGCTAGTAATAATATTGGGTTTTGTAAGGGAGTGCTGGGTTATTTTCCTGAATTACGTTACCCAACTGTGGGTTAGCCTCAAAAGAGCCCGAAGGTGTAACCACCATTACAGGTGGTGCCCAAAACTAAGCAAAAATGGATTGTTGTAAGTCTGCTAAGTTTTAAATTGAAATCATGATTTTAGGTGCAGACGCCACAGAGGCATCATAGCGAGAGTGTTTTGTATCTGAGTCAGTTGGTACGCAACAATCAGCTCAACAACCAGAGGAAACTGTTCCCTGTCAGTACCTACACTGTACAACCATCACAGGAGATCTCTCCCAGGTATATAACTTTGTGTTGTTTACAAGGTTAATCCATAGGTTAAGGTCTCCAAATAGCTATACTGTCGCTGCCAAGGCTTGTGCACAACTAACACTGACACAATGTTCTTTATTTCCCAGGAATTCTTTATTCAAAAGGCGTTTAGAAAAGGTTTAATTCCATTAAAATATTTGTTGGAGAATCGACTCCCTTACGTCATTATTGGCGAACTAATGGGTAGGGTGGGAACCGCTACTATTGTAGTGGATGTAGTTCTGATACAGATGTTGGGAAAAAATTACAAACTAAAAGATGTATTAATTCCAAGAACCCTCACACTTGTGTCCAGTCCTGCACTCCCTCCAGACCTGAGTTCTTTGATGAAATCCAGTAGTTGACAGCTTTGTAAAAGAAAAAATATCCCTAATCGCTACCTGGTACAGCCCCCAAACTCCTGGCTTTCTTGCAGCTGACTGCCTCACAATCTGCCAACCGATTCCTTGGTGTTTCTTCTCCTGAGTGGTGGAATCAACAATTCAACATCAGCTCTTGTACTGTTAAAACCGTTAGTTTAGCCAACTCCTCATAGCTCAACATCCTTGTAGGGTACCTATTCTTTAGTGTTCCTTTTTTGCCATCTGCCCTTTTTGAGGCGGGGTTGGGCCTGGTGTTCTCACCTCCTGGTCTTTTGGGTTTTTTTCTTTTTTCCCCTGCGCCATTTGTCAGGGTCGAATTGTTCACCTCTTTCCATAAGTTTTGCCTTTAAGGCCTCCCTCCTTTGTGCCATGGTGAGGTTCAGTTTCTTCATCTTAAGTCGCTCAGTGGCGTCATCAAGTGTCTCTGTGGGTTTTGGTGTTTTAGGACTACTTAAAAGCTCCTCTTCTCTTTCCAGTGTAGCTGGTGTGAGCGGGGATTCGTCCTCCATTGTTTCCAGTTGGGGGAGTTGAACTTCCATCGTAGTGGAAGACCCTAAAATCAATATATTTCGCGGAAAAAACATTCCCATCTGTCTTATGGTCTGGCAATCTATGGAGGAACGTCCAAACAAAATTTAGATACAGTTCTGAAACTCAAAAAAAAAAACTATAAGAATCATGCTATACTTGGACAAACAAATAACTGTGAAAGATAAATTTTCAAAACTACATATTTTGACAGTCTATGATCAGTATATACTAGAATGTGTTATGTGTGTCAAAAATCAACTACAAAATTTGGAAATTAGAAAAAATGTCCATTCATATGACACTAGAAATAAGAATGATACAAATTTATCAAAACATAACCTCAGCTTCTTTGAAAAAAAGGCAACCTTTATGGGATCAAAATTTTTAAACCATTTTCCTACAAAATTAAAAAGTAAAATAAACCAAAATAATTTCAAAAAACTAGTTAAGAATCATCGGTTGCAAACGAGTTATTATTCATTTGAAGAGTTTTTTTTTCAATGTAAAAACGACTAAATAAATAAGGTTGAGGTACTCTGATGGAAAAAAATAAAAAATTAAACTGTATGCGGTTTCTACTTTTCTGTAAATCGAAATCAAAATGCATAAAAATTAGTTATAGTCTGACACTATTCGTGTATGTATATAGAATATGAATAAAGAATTTTTGATTTGATCCTGGTTTTGAGAGCGTTAGAGCCTCCTGTGCTCTTGGTGCACTCGTTTCAAGAGCAGGGTCTTGCTCTGAGTGAGCTGACCCCTGAGGTGTGGGCGGTGCAACTTCTAGAGTTGCTGCAAGGTTTGGTTCTGGTTGGGTTTTTTTTATTTGTATCCATGGTGTTCCCACGAGAAGCAAGGGAATTGGAGGTCGAGCCCAGACAGAGCCCCGCATGTCCAGGTAAGGCTGATTTCTCCAGGGGTTGCCCGGTGTCCTGGAGGCTCCGTACGCACCAACGCTGGGGAGCCCAGTGGCATTCACCTCTTCGGCATGGGTCGCACGACACCACTGAGGTTCGGCTAAAACAAGAAGCAAAAGCAAAAGGAAAAGGAGAAGGGAAGAAGATTCTTCAATAGGAAAGCGAAGAAGAAAGAAGGGCCAGCAAAAAGAGGAAGTTAGCTGGCCATAGAACACAGAACGAAGAAGAGGAGAGATCTCGGGGTTGGCTAGAGTACCTCGGGGTTGCCAGCCTACAAGAGGCCTCCCGTGTAGTTGACAGACAACTACCCCTGAGGGACGTAGTACTCATAGTAAAACCTGGACCTGGGACTGATTTACTTTTTTCGTTTTGAGGTCCCTATAGGCCATAAACACCATCCGTTCAGATTCATATGTATATGTGTCCGTTGGCACGATCCGTTTGCGGCCAAGGCTTGTGCACACCTGACACTAGCACAGTGTTCTTTATTTAATAGGAGTTAAGAAATGGTTTGGTTCTATTAAAATATTTGTTGTGGATTTTACTCATTATTGGCGAACTAATTAGTAGGGTTGGGAACGGCTAGTATTGTAGTGGATGTAGTTCTGATACAGATGTTAGGGAAAGATTACACTGCAACCTAAAAGATGTATTAATTCCGGTAACCCTCACACTTGTGTCCAGTCCTGAACTCCCTCCAGACCTAAGTTCTTTGAAGAAATCCAGTAGTTGACAGCTTTGTAAAAGAAAAATATCCCTAATCGCTACCTGGTACAGCCCCCAAACTCCTGGCTTTCTTGCAGCTGACTGCCTCACAATCTGCCAACCGATTCCTTGGTGTTTCTTCTCCTGAGTGGTGGAATCAACAATTCAACATCAGCTCTTGTACCGTTAAAACCGTTAGTTAAGCCAATTCCTCGTAGCTCAACATCCTTGTAGGGTATTCTTTAGTCTTCATTTTTTGCCATCTGCCCTTTCTGAGGCTGGGTCATCTCATATGTTCCTTGTTTGCTTTTGTTGGACGCTGACTTGCTGTGCCCCTGCTATCCAGCTTACTTCCTTTCATCAACTTTCTTCTTAGCCTCATCGGGTTCCTGCAAGTCCCTACACCGCTAAGACTCTACAAAGGAAGTAGATTGGACAGAGCTCCGCTTACCCGGGCAAAGTACTTACCGCAGGAGGTTGCCTGGTGTCTTGCAGGTGCCGTTTGAGACACCACTCTAAAGGTCAGGTGACATCCACCTCTCGTTATGGTCCAAATAACACCTTGGGTTGACCTGTAACAGAAGCAGAGAAAGGGGGCACAAGATTGGGTGAATAAAAGAGTAGTAAGAGATAGATAGGTGAAGAATGTTCATCTATGAGTTAGGAAGCTGAAATACATTGATATAGAATAGCACCTGCTCAGTGAAGAGTTAGGAGATAGGGAGGATCTGCAATGGACAAGCCACGTTTTGACTGGATGTATGCCAAAATGGATGAAGTAAGCGGTGAACTTTGCTGGTGTCAGATTTTAACTTCCTCGCTTAGATTCAACAGTATTTCGTAGGGGACCTTAACTTTCAGACAATTCATGAATGTATATGCTGCTTTATAAGATGCATTTCTCAAGTGTTTCAAGCTTGACCTGTTTGTCTCCAGGTCGCCTCCGATGACAGTGGCGGAGAGGATCAGTGAGCTGGAACGACAGCAGGCAGCACCACAACAGCCGAGACTGCCGTTCTCGTACGACCGCAATCCTCACGACTCCTCCCGCGTCACGGATCATGCCTCGCTCAAAGCCATCCAGAAGAAAGCTCTGTTGTCGTTCTACGAGAGGCATCATTCCACGTGGAAGTCAGAACCTCAGCTGAGCCCCCCTCAACCTCCTCCGAGACCTAAACCTCCCCCCTCCTCCTCAGCTGCTAGCAGACGATCATCATCTGCGTCTGACTACGCTGGTTCTGCTAGGAGAGAGGTTAGTCGAGTGATATATCTTTGACTCACAGTGGCTCTCCTACTACAGTTCGACTACAACCATTGTCTTTGAATAACAAAATAGACATTCCATTAATGGACAATACCAATTTTTCAAATTGAAAGAAATTTTAAAACTTGTTACATCTTTAACATAAGCATTTAGGAATTATTTTCTAATTTAAGTCAGTGTATCTGTAGTCAAAGCTACAACTATGACAGGTATAAAGTACCGGTATCATATTTACAAAGTTGGAAGAGATATAAACAGTCTTTATGAGTAGGCCTAGCCTACGTAATCTGTCACATCAACTTTTCCTCAAATTATTTCGATGTCCTGATTTTACATGTTTTTCATCTTACGCTACCCTCATACTTTTTAGCTGTCAACCCCTTGTGTTCATACAGTTGTTTTCTATTTATTTCACTTTGTGTGCTATAACTATTGTTAATTCCAGGCGAAGATTGGGCATTCGGCGAAGGATAAACCAGTAGCAACTGAACAAGAGAATGGGACTCTGTCAGCAAGACATCAGCATAGGTATGTGTCTATTCCTTGGCTGCAAATTATGATCTCCACGGAGTTCCCATCGCTTTCAATTGAGCTACCGATAGCTCAAATTTGAGACTTGCTTTGTACTTTACTTCATTCAATACTAGATGGTTTTTGCTGTAATGATACAATCAGTCTCCTCATAGTAGCACACACCGTTGTCAAGGAAATTCCCTTAAAGTAAGTAGAAAGGACATACAGGACCGTATTTAGAATCGATGAGGCTCCCGGCGGCTCTCTCCAGAGTGGCCCCTCTACATTCTGATTCTTCAAAGGTTGGATCTTAAGGGCTTAGAAATACTTTTGTTATTGCTTCAACTCAATGAATTGACCTTTAGTTTCCAACAATCCGATCAGCAAAAAGACCTAGGAGATTAGCTGATAAATAAGTCTATTATTGTTTTTTTATAATAATATTGGGGGTCTTAGGTCGCGGCCTGACATTCTTAATTTCTTTCGGGTTGAGTAAAACATGTTGAACTTCGGGCATCAAATCAAAATCGGGTGGTTTTGTAAATAATTATTTAAAAATATATTAATTGATAATACTATAATCGGTTTATACAAAATCTGAAATCGCGGCCAAATTGAAAGGGTCTTCTGTGGTCACAGTAAAATCTTAGACAACTGCCGCGGTCGTGGAGAGATCGTGAACATATTCTACGTTCACGGAAAAATAGTAAACATAATGCGTAATCGCAGAGACATCATCTTCCTCTTTTGCGATGGCGGCAAAATCATGAATGTCTCCTGTGGTTGCGTAAAAGAGTGAACATCTTGCGCGAACGCGTGGACATCATCTTAGCAATCTCGCGGGGACCAATCACGTTGGAATGATGAATGCCTCCTATGGACGCGGTGAAATAGCTAGTATCTTGTGCAAGCTAGTGGATGTCATTTTCGTCTCCTCGGATCATGGCGGAATCAGTTTTCTGTAACCGCGGAAAAATAGTTAACATATTGCGCGAGCACGGATATGTCATCCTTGTCTCCTCCGATCGCGGCGGATTTGGCCGTGGAGCTTGCCCGGAGACGTCATCTTCGTCTCCAAAGATCGCAGCTAAATCGTGTAGATCTTCCAAGTTTGCGGGGACATAATCTTCGACTCCTGCAGTCTCCATAAAAAGCCTGGACATCTTACAAGATCGCGGATAAATAGTAGTAACAATTCCTACGTTAACAGGGGAAATAGTGAAGATCTTAAGTGGTCACGCAGATTTCATCTACGTTTCCTGCAATCGCAGAAAAACATATTATCGGTGAAATAAATTTATCAACAAAAAAATTGAGGAGAGACTAATGTAAAGTATTGATCTGTAATGATCTTCATCCATTTCTTTCTCCTGGGTGGTTCAGGTTGTGATCAGAAGATGAGAAGATTTGGCAGAAGAGTTTGACAGAATTGTTCAAAGAGAATGGCCCCAAAAATTGATATCAGGCCTATTTCTTCTGTAGTATTATAAATATGATTAAAATAGGTAACAGCAGTTTGATATATCCTGGGTAATGATGGCCCATGAGTAACCTTTCCAATCTACTCAGCTTGACTTTCTTCTCTGTTGACCTCTCAGTTCATTCAGTTATCACGAACACATGTCCTCAATGATTCCTCATGATACGATGCACATGTTAATTATTCATAACAACTTATCTGATTTTCTGTTTTCAGTTCTAGTTGTGGGTCGCTGTCAACTGCAGTGTCCGGCCCCTTCATCATGGGTCCCTCCATCTCAATAGATGACTGGGTCCCTGCTCGGCCTCCCAAGAAGCCTCATCTACGAGCAGCCTATCCCGTGCCTCGCTCATCCAGTCCAGATCTTCCTCCTCCTTCACCGCCACCGGTTGTAGAAGACGAAGTTTTTGTCTCAGACGAACCCCTGCCTCCCCCTCCCCCTGAGGATCAACTGCCTGACATGAAGTCAATGATCTCATCTTATCCAAGATCTCAAGACTCTAAACACCATTACGCCAACAAATCTTACTTGGACAATTCTACATCGGAATCTCAAAAATCTTACTTCCCTGAAAGATCAAAACCCGAACCTCAGTACGAGAACCAGCCGGAGTTAAGAAGGTGTTCCAAAGTGAGAGAATCCTGTAGAGCTTCTTTCATGTCGAGTAGGGAGAAGGATTCTGAATACGCCGAAAGAAAGGCTCGTGATGAGAGCTCGCTGTCAAACGTGAGCAAAAGTAGAGCGATATACCAACGCCAAAAAAGTTTAGAGAGTTACTTTAAAAATAGTAGTTTAAAAGAAGACTGTGGTATTAGAGACGATCAAATTCCTGTTGGTCCGAGGATCAATTTAGATAGGAGGAGTATCGAGACGTTATTTCCAGCGAAATCCGATCTTAGTTTGAAAAACTACGAGGACTTACAGCCGGCTTCTTTAGATAGTAATATTTCTCTAAACGAAAATCACAATCAGAGGTTTAATAAACCAGGTCCACAGACGCCTGTGGACAAAAAACATAGTTCCTCTCTGTCTAAACCTTTCGGCTTATCCGTTAATCCTCTCAGAGCATTAGACAGTAACTCTACTTTCCGACATATACAGAATCAGTTCATCAGGTCAGCGAGTGTAAGGAGGGATCTACATTCGTCTCAGTCAAACGAAGAAAAGTCTGATAGTTGTAAACCGTTCCAACAAAATGCCGAGAGAAAATCAATGAGGTATTCTACCACTAAACAGTTTTTGGTAAACTCCAAGAAGACTGTGCTACCTTCTCCAGTTCAGAATGGCAGGTTGTCTCCGCCATCAAAAGTTCAACAACTCATTCAAAGTTCTAAAATTACTACAAAACCTCTGAATTTGCTGGTGAACTCAAACAAGTTACTCCCGACCAAGTACAGTCCGGACTATGCCACCATCCCCTCAGAGCCTCCGAGTCACGTCAGACAGCTGCCTCAAAGTCTCCCGGCGCAGTGTCCACCTACCAGTCTACAACTGTGAGTACAAACATTTTATTATTTTTCTCTAGTACAGATTATTCACCCTAAATCGGTTGCAGGAAAATCATGCAAATGAAATGGTCATAATAAATCGAGGGAAATTAAAACTTTTTTAAAAATATTAAATATTTGTTAAAAGTTGAACATTTTAAATACAGGTTTAATAGTTGAACATTGTGCAGTAGGCCTAACTACTTTAAAAACTCAAAAATTAAACAAAAACACATTATAGAACTTGTAGTTATCCTATGCTTTTCCAGCTGTTTAACATCACCTGGTTTTCAAATCCGGCATTCCCTTTAGATGTGAAACTTCAGTATGATATATTTTCCAGATATACAAGTATCGTCGTTAGTTAAGGTCTCAATTGAGAGCCTGTCACAACCAAGCAGGATAGTTCAAATTTGACACTAACGTCTTGTTCTTCATTCACTACCTTTCTAGCTGATCCCATCCCTATGGGATGATTAGTCTGGTCATAGTATTAAAAGGCCTTGTAAAAGAAAATTGACAATCCCGCTAAGTACGGCTCACGTTCTGTGGGTAGGTTTTTTGTAGGAAGGGGGTCGATCCCTGGTGACAACTGTTGTCAGTTGACAGATGTGAGTGCAGAAAAGTGGTTCAACATAGAAAATGTGCGTTAGTTGCTTGGGGAGTGCGTAAAAGTCTGTGCATAGTTACACAACAGGGCCAGAGAAGCGGGTTTCAATCTGTTTCCATCGTGATAGTGATGGAATTTGTGGAAAGTTTGCTTGCAGATTTGCGTGTTTCAGACTTCCAAGGCTGACTGTAGTCCTTGATAGTCTTATAAAGACATCCCATATTAGTTTGATAATCCCTCTCGTTCAGTCACACCACCATACTCATGGGGAATTCCCCTAACTTTGGTCAAATAAGACTGATGAACAACTGTAGTCAACGTACACCATAGCAAACATCGTGCAAATGATAGGTTTACCTAAGAACTTCCTTCACTCCTTGCACACATTTTTGACATCCACACACTTTTACTCATTTTGAGTCCGTTAACTGGGTATGGATTTCAATAGTGGTTGACGAGTGAGACCGAAAAAATCGAATCACAGAATTAGATTTATACTTGGTGTGGGCGTCAATTTTCTTTCATAAAGTTTTTAATAGTGTAACCAGACTCATCTTCCCATAGGGGTGGGAACCAGCTACAATAGTGGTGAATGAAGTAAGGTACACAACGTTGGTCTCAATGGTGACCTTATTTTTCGGACATCCGTCGTATTTTCCAAAGGCATTGGACACTTTTAAGCACTGAGACTAGGAGGACCCTCAGCAGGGATGTGCGCCATTGAAGATTTTAGGAACTGCAAATTAAAAACTTCTAATTGAGTTTCCCAGGAGGTTTTTGTATGCTACATCATTATGGGAGCAGTTTACGATAGACAGGTTTTTATAGGAAAAGTAATATTGAGAGGAAGGAGAAGAGTATTGGTTGGGTTTCTTAATCTAAGACCTTCCCAATCTCAACCAAAGATTCCCAAGGTGTCAGTACTAGTACTAGACACCCATAATCTTTAGACAGCATCACAACTCTAGACACCCATAATCAGCAAACCATGTTAGCTAAAACTTATCCTCAATTTTCTTCTTTTCTATGACTTTTGTTTTCATTAAAATGAATCTCATCACAAGGTGTAAAATATGTTTGTTAAACGTCCATAAGTTAAGGTCTGTAAAAGTTCAATTCAATTCTGTTTTGACAACCAAGCGAGCTAGTTTTAAGTAATACAAACACTGTGTTTTTTACTTGTACTAATATTCTTGCCAGTCTCATATGTTGCCTATTGGTCCCATAACAGCCAGTGATAAGAGGGAAATTATTGCTCCCGCCAAGTATAAATCATATTCTGTAGTTAGTTTAGCACTAATACTTGTCAATAAGTTTGTGTGTATGTTTTATAATCCCTCACAAAACTGGTTGAAGTTGAAATAGTAAAAGTTTTATCACAACAAAAGTGCTGCCGCTGCCAGTTACAATCATGTCACTAATCTTGTTATTGATTCAGAAGTTAAATGCTTGCTCTTGTGTGCTCCAGAACTCATCGAGGTTTACAAAAACTACCCCAAAACAGTTATTAGGGGCTTATGGGAATTTAAAATAACTGTATGAAAATGGACTTGTAAAAGAAATATTATTGATGGATTACAACATATACAACTCAAAATAAAAAATCCCAACAAGAGGTCCCTATTCGCTTTCCATATTACATATTTCATTATTTATTTTAATTTTATAGTCAACATTGGACCACCTAGGTCTTTTTAAAGGAGATCTTCTTTTGCCTTGTATTCTGTTTTTATTTCTCCTCGTTAATATTTTGTCGTTAACAGTTTTTTTTTGCTAAACAGACGTCCCCAAAAATTTATTTACATAAACTAAACATCAAAAAACTATAATATCACAACTGTTTGTATGTATCGTTGTTATTTGTGTATACAACAATTTTGAAATAAATTTTGAACAGTCTAAAATTTTAAATTTGAGGGCTGAGCAAACTTGATGTAATGGTATACCTACTTTTGATTTTTGTCATTGATTTAATTTGAGAAAAAGTTTACAGCGTCTCTCAATTCTAGGAGGAAACATCTAGCAATTTTGTCCTTGATCATAAATATTTGGTTTCCAAACCTCAAAATCGTGATGGGGTGTGTAACACCCCAAAATACATGAGAAACTGAATAAATCCTAACATCAAACCCCAAATCTCAAGGTAGGCTTTTCACTACAATTGGTTAAATAAAACTTGCAACAATGCAATTGAGTGAAAGTCGTACTGTACTGATACAGAAAGGGAGGTGTCCATTTAATTATTAAATCCCCACATCTGGTGAGTCACATGCCATAGAATGTGGGGGAGTTAGGGTCTGAACAGCTGATTGGGGTGAGGAAGGAAGTGGCCTCTGATGTACAGGAAATAAATGGAGGGTAGCATTGGAACACCAGGTGTGGTTGAACCTTAGATCAGATGACATTCAGTGTGCTAAGCAAGGCCAGCCTTTGTCAAACATCCTCCATTTTTATCTTTGTATCTTGATGTCAGCATAGTTGCTCCTGATTAAAAGAATACCAAGTTATCTACATCGGTGTGGTGTCAGGTTCTAACATTTCCTAGTTCAAAAAGGTTACTTCTGTTAATTTTACGGTCATGAAAAACTGTTTCTTGAAATAAAAGTAATTATTGTTTTGTTTCACCCAAGTTATGTCAATTTTTCGGCTCAAAATCATGGGTGAATGATATAATTACTTTCTTACTTTGATAAAGTCGTCATCTGATGACATTATGTTCATTTTCAGTAACTGTATTACTTTAAAATCCAAACGAATTATTATTTAAATACAATTATTTAATTGAGACAGAACTGAAAAGCATCGACCATTTATTAAAATCTTAATGGTCAAGGACAGCTGGGCCCAGTTTTGATTCAACTGCCGTACGTCTAGCTTTTCTCAGGATAAAACCTGCAAAATTTTACTCAAATTCCTATTCAAAAACTACATCGTTACTAATATTGTGAACATTGTTAACAGTTCAAGACTCTTCGTGAAATATCGTTTTCTAGCGAACAAGCAGATAATTATCTCTTTATTTAACAAGCTTCACGGAGCTTCCAAACACGCAAGACCGTTAGACAGCGAAGTTTTTTTACCGCTAGTTATCGCGTTTCACCGCGAGTGAACTCCGCAGAACGCAGAAGCAGTTGTCGCATTGTCGCGGCCGCGCGGAAGTACATCAGCGCATGCGTTGTCGCGGTCCCGCTATGTAATGGCTGGACCGTACCGTCCCGGCTAACTGTCCCGGGCAGCTTCTCACGACGGCCACACGTCCGAGCACTGAGCAGGCGCCATCCTCACAATGCGTCTCTGCCCTTCAAAAGACTAACTGAACACGAGGCTTTAAGCCGACTGTGACCCGTTGCGTAGTATTTTGGCTGATGACTTCGGAACGGAAGAGTTTGACAGTTTTGATCTCTGCCCCAGCCATTTCTTAAAAGATCCACTACCGCTTTAGGAAATACTGGACCCTTTCTCATTGGACTTGCCGTTAGCTATCGCCACAACCATTGATCATCAACAAATGAATATAAATACACCGTACAAACTGTATAAATACTACCTACTATTTCTGACCGTTCCCATTGTTTCTCGGAATCGACAAACTTTACTATACCACGGTTAGATGATGTTGGACTAGAAACCTTTACACACTTTTGATAATCAACAAATGAATTAATTATTAACAAACGTTAAATTTATAAAAAAAATTATAATGTAAGTAACGTAATTTATGACGTAAGTAGTTTTCTTTTGAGTTGAATTTTAATTTTTGATGTGATTTGAACATACAGTCCGTCGCCGCGACTGTGTACTCTCCCCGCTGCAGCGCGAGCACACGCCACTCACGCCAGTGGTGGAGGAACGGATTGCATACACCGTGCAAACTGTATAAATACTACCTACTATTTCTGAACGTTCAATTGTTTCTCGGAATTGACAAACTTGCCTATACTACAGTTCTATTCTGTAGGACTAGAAACATTTACGGACTTTTGAGGTCTCCGGTGCGTCAGTAGAAAGTATTCTAGTTTATGACTTTGGTACGTCCAAGAAGGGCGTTCGTTCGTTCTGAATGTCCTCAAACATTATTCTCCAATTTACGAAATATACCCCTAATGTGTGTTTCAAACAAACCCTTAGAAAAGGTTTTAATTTAGATATCAAACAAACAGATAGCAGCAATACCCACTACTTCAATACTGCAGTAATTTCCATTTCCATTGTCATTCTTCCGACGATGGAAAATCTTTCATAGTTCTTTGTTTTGGAAATGAAGGTTTGGAATTTTTGTTAACTGCAATTGCAAAATGTTCACATAACTTTCGTACAGGAGACAAACACGTCATATTATCTACAATTATGTGGGAGTATTTACGCCTTTTTTTTATTCATTCTCAAGGTGAGGGAA